CTATATATATATATAAATATATATATATATATATTAGATGTTGAATCTACTTAATTTTTCCTAGTAATTTTTAAATTTTTTGAATCTTTTTGGTGAAAATCGTGCTTCTGCCCATAGCCTAATAATTATATATAGAAGCTCTAAAAAAACAAAAAAAGAAAAAAGTTACTACTATTAATTACTTTCCTTTAAGTCTCGTATCATCAATGTTTCCAAGTCTGTTCACGGGTGTTTCATGAAATCTTGGAGACGATATCTTTGAAACTACATTATTTAATAATTTAAAGGAATATTAGACGAACAATTAGTTATTTTTACTTGTAATAAGTTACAATCTTTATATTCTAAATTTTTTCCTTTTTTTTGTGGGAGTTCTACAAATATACTATGTTCTTCAATCAATAAAGAAAAGCAGGAACGGCGGGAAGCACCCGAGATATATACTGTTAAGATTTTTCACTATTCTTTTTTATTTTTATTTTAAACAATTGCAAATCCCTATGCTCGAAAATCTTGTATAAATAATTAGCTGAAAATAATATGTGCTGGCAAAGGCGGAGCCACAGTGTCGGTTACGGGCTCGGCTGAATCCAATAGCTTTGGTTCAAACTATGTATTTGTCTTAAAATTTCATTAAATGCACAAATTATTAATTTAGAACCCAATAATTTAAAAGGATTAGAATCTCGAACTCATAAGCTTGAAGTTCTGGCTTCGCCTCTGTCTCCGGGTTGTGTTCTTATTCTCAACATCATCATGGTAATAATTTAAAGAAATGTTTGCTCAAATATCGAAATAACTAATTAGGAATACTACTCTCCTTCCCAAATTATTTGTCATTTTTTGCTTCTCGGGATTCACATTATGTAAACTTTGATCAATATTTAAAATATTTTCTTAATCATATTGTAAAAGAATTGCAACTTATAGTACTTTTAGTATAGATTTTAAATATTTAACTTTTAATTTTAAAATATTATGTTGACATAATCTATTTTAGTTTCAAAGTTTAGTTATATTGATTCTCAAGAAAGGAAACATGTCAAATAAATAAAGACCAAATTTTACATTTAAAATAGAATTAGAACCCTCTCTACCAAAAGGAGAAATCACATTTACAAACACCCACATCTATATATAGACAAAATATTTGCTGAATTTTATGCTTATAATGGCCATGATTTCTGTGAAAGTGATCATTTAAAGCTTAATTATTGTGATTTTTCTTGAAGGAAAAAAAAACCATCTGCTTCTTTTTCACAAGAATAATTAAAAGAGGAAACAAAAGCACCTTTATTTCTCATTCAACTCATGAGAAGAAGAAGTATACCGTTAAATGATGAATACAAAATATAGGATACATTGATTAATATGTAGAGTCACATTTCTAAAAGATCCAAACTCATAGATACAAGAAAGAATCACCTCAAAGAATTGAAATCTACAAACTTCATCGTTAATCCGTTGCTAAAACACTCGTAGCTAACATAATTTCTTGATAGTTTGTCGCTAATCTGTTGCAATAGGTGAAGCTATATTGTTCTAAGGGTGGTCAATTGAACACCCTTCTCGAAAAATTACTCTATGTACGTAAGTAAAATATTAGGTTTTAAAAGTATATAACATGCATTGAACACTCATTGTCGATGAATTGTTTTTTACTTCTTTCAACTTTGAACACCATTGGAGAAATTTCTGACTTCACTAATGTTTGTTGCTAAATAGGATTAACGGTGAATTTTTTTATTTAACTACATAATTTGTTCGTCGCTAATTCCAAGTTTTTAAATATTGAATAAGAAGTAACATAATTCAAATAGAAGATTTAATAATAGGAAAATTAACTTCACTATAATATTGCTCTTCTGTACATTGTTACATACTATACTTCGGTAATTTAAATTCTTCTTCGTCGTACTATAAGGAAAAAAAACTCCACATGAGTAAAAACAAAGGGGGAAAAAGAAGGAATTGTTTACTTCAATATTTAAAAATATTGAAAAACAAAAGAAAAAAAAGCTATAAAGATGTTTTAGGATTAGTAATCTCACTAGCATTAGCAAGATGCCTCATAACATCAACTTGAACCCTAAGTGAAAGGATATAATCTAGGGTTTCTTTAATTAAAGAAACATTATCCATATATTCTCCACCAGGAACAAGACTTTTAAGAACTTTAGTTCTATTCTTCACCAATTTTCTTGCTATAGAAATTGGAGAGATCATTTTTCTACCTTTTTTAGAAATCGTGCAGTCGACCTCAACTTGTTTGGGACTGAAGTTTAGCTGCCGTTGTCTTGAAATCTTGCAACTTTTGGTCACAATTTTCTTGCATCTAATGCTCTTTTGGGACATAGCCAATAATCCCATTGAAGATTTCTTGAATATCACTCTCTTAGAAATATCATCATTTCCAAGAATATGGTTTATGATTATTTTGTTAGTGTCATCTTTTGAAGCATTGGCCAAAAGGGAATGACTCCAATAAGTAGAAGATTTTCTTGTAGAAGCCATTGCTATATCTGCTGATAATTTTATAGCTTTTTGTCTCTCAATTATGCTCATTTTTTCCTTTGTTGCACTGCATATTTGTAGACCCTTTATCCATTTCTTGAGAAATTCTTGCTTGAGTGAACTAGGATTCCTCATTCTTCAAACAATCTTGATCAAAATAAGAAAAACATTTAGATCATATTAGTTTTGGAATCAATAAAACCAAGAAAAAAAGAAGATTAAAATAGAGTAGGATATATTAAGAGATTCTTGAAACATATATTAAACAAGAAAAAAAAAAGAAAAAAAGCATAAAGTCTCTCTAGCTTGATTTACATATTCTCATAGGTAGACAATTTGGTGTTAGAAATTGAATTAAAGAGGCAACAGAAAGGAATTTATATAGCTACATACAATAAGAACATGCAAAACAAAAAAAAACTAGAAAATAAACTTGAGTCATATGATTTTATTAGGAGTGAAAATTGAGTGAAAAATAGCATACCTTAGTCAACTTTCTTCCAACAAATTTCAAAACAAAAGAGGTGACAAAATATGTAGTTTCTTTAGGATTCAAGAAAGTTGTAGCAGAAGAAAAACAGAAGTAATGGAAGTATGGGAATGAGAGGAAGAAATTTAGTGAAAAAAAGCCAATTTAT